ATCTTTCCTCTGTGTGCACAGGTACTTCTATCCACATTTCCTCTTCTTATGAGGACACTAGTCATATTGGATCACGACTCACCCTGAGGACTTCATTTTAAGTTAATTATTTCTTTAAAGATCATATCTTCTGGTAGGATTATCTTTTAGGCACTGCAGTTTGAGATTTCAATATATACATTTCAGCGAGGGAGTGGACACAATTCAGTACGTAATAGCTGCTACTGGAGGAGAGGTGTTGTTCAAGAATGGAAGGTCATGCTGGAATTGCCAACACTCCAATCTCTCACTAGTTTATCTAATCAAAGGTTGAGTTCTGTTTTGCAAAATAAGATGTGAACTCAGCATTGGTGATCAAGGCTGTTTCCATTTTGGGGCTCCTCCCTCTTTACTGTGGCTTCTGCTTTTCTGCCACTGGGAAGAGGAGCTGGAGGTTCAGGACTCAGTCTTTCCATGCTTGAGCCCAGCAGAGATCTTGCTTCTGCCCAACCCACTGGCGAAAGGAGTCACAAAGCCCCACCTAACTGCAGGGAGGGTGGGCAATCATGGAGAGAAGATCGATATTCAGTGTGCCATCTCCAAAGGTTTATAAATCATTCCACTGTAAAGACACATGCACACATATGTTTATTATAGCACTGTTCAAAATAGCAAAGACTTGGAACCAACCCAAATGCCCATCAATGATACATTGGATAAAGAAAATGTGGCGTATATATACCATGGAATACTATGCAGCCATAAAAAGGATGAGTTCATGTCCTTTGCAGATACATGATGAAACTGGAAACTGTCACTCTCAGCAAATGAATACAAGAGCAGAAAATCAAACACCATATGTTCTCACTCATATGTGGGAGCTGAACAATGAGAACACATAGACACAGGGAGAAGAACATTACACACTAGAGCTTGTTGGTGGGGGTGTGGGGCTAAGGGAGGGATAGCATTAGGAGAAACCTAATGATGATGGGTTGATGGGTGCAGCAAACCACCATGGTGAGTATACACCTACGTGACAACCCTGCATGTTCTGCACATGTATCCCAGAACTTAAAGTATAATTTTTGAAAAAGACAAATGTGAATTGAATCCCACCTGTACTTTCTGCATGTGAAGCTAGAACCACACGAGCCTCATTGAAGACCCCTCCCAGAAGAAATCCACGTGATTTCTCTTTGCAGCAAAGTGGTAAACCAAGCAAGAGGAAGTGTGATCAGAGAGCCATTAGCAAAGCCACAACCCATGAAACTAGCGGATCCCTGAAAGAAACGCTTGGAACAGTTTGTGATTTGAAAGTCCAGTGTCCCACATATCCTAAACTCAGAATATTTTATTCTGAGTTTGAGTGAGCAAGGAGGTGAGACAGGACTATAATTTTAACTCTTAGCATGCTCTGTGACATCTGCCAGTCCAGAGTTTTTCATTCTGCACATTTTTCATGACTTGCTGCCTGATTGAGAGAAGCACAAGTATTCCCTCCCACCATGATTCTTTCATCAGGGATCTGAAGTGGACCAAACTGAAGTGGCAAAGCCCTTCTGTCTAGGGATTGGTAACAGAACTCTGATATCAGGGGATGGGTGACTTTGGTGGGCACAACTTGCCTAGCATGTGACCTTCTCCCATTACAAAATAATCGACATCAATCTCTCTCCTGTCTGGCCTAAGCTGTGCAGTGTAAAAATGAATGGCTCCTTGTAGATCTGAAATCGATGTTTCCTCAGGCACACTCAAGACATTTGTCACTGAACTCTTCTTATTCTTGGGTCTGTAAGAACTGATTATGCATGTCAGATTTTTCCTCAATTCAGTGGAGTTTAGCAAAACATTCAAAGGCAGTTTAGACGTGTCTTTCCTTAGACTTGGCATCTCTATCATGCAGCAAATGACTAAGGTCTTCCAATGACTGCCTGCAACCATGGTTATTCATCACTGCAGGGACAGGTTTTATGCACAGGGGCTCCTGCTCGTGGACTGCTGAGTGGCTGGTGCTCATGGGGGCCTAGTGAAGGTGCCTGATGCTTCATTGCTGCATCTAAATACACCACCTGTCTCAATGACCACAGACACTGAGTTGATGTACGGTGCTTTCTGAATTCTCTGATGGTTTTAATATTTTCAAGTAAGAAAAAATGCACAAAAGATTTATAATTGCTGTATGTGGTTGAATGTCTTTTGCCATGGTAATTATTTCCCATACTGGGTACATTCTCTGAAAAGTAAAATCAAGAGCTGAACAAGAAATGTCAGTATGGGAGACAAACTGTGTAAGGAAATCTCCTGTTGTCTTCAGGGACGTAATTGTTCCTTCTAACCCCAAAACCTGAAAGCTTTCATCAGGTGGAAAGGGTTGATTAGAATGTGATAGTTGATGTCTATGCCAATTCCACCGAGCCCTGGGGTGCTCATACTGAACATCATTTGTGAGTGTATCTCAAAGGAGATTTGCTGACGAGATTAGCATTTGAATTGGTGGACTCAGTAAAGTGTAATATTTCCCTATATTAATTGACACCAACCAATCCATTGAGGGCCCAAATAGAACAAAATGTGGAGAAATGACAATTTACCCCCTCCTTGTTTATTTGTTTTCTTCTGTCTTATTGCTTGACCTCAGACATTTCGTCTCATCTTGTCCTGCCATGAGCGTGGAATTTGTGCCGTCAGCCAGCCCCCAGTTCTCAGGCCTTTGAGCTCAGACTGAATCACACCACCAGCTTTCCAGGGTCTCCAGATGGTCGGGGGCATGTTGTGGGATGTCTCATCTCCATAACTGTGTGAGCCAGGTCCTCATTGCTGCAACACAAAACACAAAACCTTCCGTCTCCCTGTGAATCTGTCAGGGGACACCTGAGATGACTAATGAAAGGAAGAAATTGGTCAGTCGATGCCAGAAGAGAGGAGGAGATGGGAGAGTCTAGCTGACATTCATCAGTGGCAAACCGTCCAGGCTTCACTGGTGAAATATGGGCATTGTCAATGCAGAGCACACAGGTAGTCATGCCTACCTCATGAAGGCTATGAGCGGCTTCTCTGTGCTTCTGACCTTTCCGGGGGAAACAGCCAGTACTGCAGGACAAGCTCTGGTCACTGTCTTTGCCCAGCTGCCCATGTTGGTTTCTAGGGTGGGGGCTGAGGATATCACCAGGAAATGACTGTGCTAGACTTGACTGGGGACCCTAGCCCCTCCCTTCTCTGCAGCCTGAAAGGAGGCATCAGCATCAGTCAGGAGATGAGGTGGTCAGGCAGCAGTGGGGCCACAGGGTAACACAGAGCTGTCACCCCAGGGACGAGGGACTGACTGACGAGCCAGGCCTCTGCAGTGACAAATGTCACAGCTGGTCTGTTTCTTTCTGAACTGAGGGAGCCCCATGTGTCTGACTGATTCACCTGGGGAAGACGATAGACAGGTTCTCAAGACTCAATCTACTTGAAGATGCCGAACTAAACCATTGAGAACATGCAAAATTTATAGCCACAGTATGGGCTTTCTCTATCCAAACTTCAGTTCTAGTTTTCCTTTTGTTGATGAGTTAATTTACATTCAAATTTTAAAAATGAAATGTATTTCAAAACTCCAAGTGCAGCTCATATAGAAAATTTTCCAACCTTATAAACTATCAGAATAACAAGTGAGAAAGCGCACAGGGATTAGGCAGGCAGTGTGTAAGTATGTCAGGTCTGATGGTACTGGAGCAAAGTTACCAGACAAAACTCTGCTTCTCAGGGGCACTCAGCCTCAGCCACCTGCTGCCCATGTAGCCAGAGCCTCGCGTCCCAAAGGTCACCACCCCAAGGTGCCGACAGGCAGGGCTTCAGAGCCACACTGCAGCTGCTAATCCCAGCAGGGCCACTAACTAGCTGTAGGACTGTCAGCTAACTTATCAGAGTCTGTTTTCTGATTTGTAGAATAGGGAGACTAACAGTGTCAGCCTCATGATGAGTGTTGAGTCCAGGATTAAACACATCAATGTAGAGAAAGCATTTAAAACAGGGGCAACACACTGGAAAAGATATGTAGATGTTACCTACTGCAGTAGTACATTAATTTTTATTTAAAAATACCTTAAAACATAAATTCTGGCAGGGCACGGTGGCTCGTGCCTATAATCCCAGCACTTTGGGAGGCAGAGGAGGGCAGATCAACTGAGGTCAGGAGTTCTAGATTAGTTTGACCAACATGGAGAAAGTCCATATTTACTAAAAATAAAATTAGCTGGGTGTAGTGGTGCATGCCTGTAATCTCAGCTACTCCAGAGGCTGAGGCAGGAGAATTGCTTGAACCTGAGAGGTGGAGATTGTGGTGAGCCGAGATCATGCCATTGCACTCCAGCCTGGGCAACAAAAGCAAAACTCCACCTCAAAACAAAAACAAAACAACAAAAAACATGAATTCTTAGGTGAACTCTCTTTAGATATGGACAACTAATTGAAGTATATTGAATTCACATATTCATATTTATATAGGATACATTTAATATATAATAAATTCATATATACAAGAGAGCTAGAAATACATATATAATATAGTTATATATGAAAATATATTTAATACATGTAAGTATATTATATGAATACAAATGCAGTATTTGAGTCAATATACTCACATATTTGCATATATTTACATTTGTTTGAACTTAATGTGCCCTATATTTGCTATGGTCTGTGGGACACCTGTGAATAATCTCTAAAGGAAAACGCTCTTCTGTGACATGTGCTGAACCTGAGTGGGACAGGACTATCAATCACATTGTCCATAGTAGAAAACGAACTGGTCTTCTTTGGAGATGAGCTCCATTTCCAGAAGGAGAAGCTCTGGCTTCCCCATCCTCTCCAACTCCTTCAGCACCGATTGTTCCAACAGTGATACCCTGCTCCAAAGTTTGTCCCACCATTGGCTGGCCAGTGGCCAGTCGGATACTCTCAGTGGCATGGAACAAGATTGAGCTGTGGGCCCTGAACTGTGATGTCACAGAACCTGGAACCTGCACCCATTATGGACTAGGACAAGGGGCAGAGGCAGAGAGAGAGAGAGGACCCACCCGGAGAAGGAAGAGACCAGGTGGGATCTGAGACAGGGAGACCCTTTCTACATCGGTGCCTTGACGTGTGGCTCTTTTGCCACGTTCTGCCCTAGGATCACCCCCAGATGAACTGCTATCTTTCGAATAACCTTGTTTTTCCTCGGGTCTTCCAAACCAATCATCTCTCCCTTCTGACACAAGAGGACTTTACCTGGAAGACCACCGCACACCTTCTAGTAACATTGGGACCCTGGGTGAGTCACTTCACTTCTCTGGGCCTCAGTTTCATCCCTGTAAAATGTCGAGAACACCTCCCCTAACTCGACAGAGCTGTTCTCAGGATCAAAGGGGCAAATTTAGTTTATACATGGAGACACTTGCCTGCTGCCTGGCCCTCGATAGAAATCATATATCTTCTAATCAGCCGCTGGCTTTTCCTGAACCTTTCAAGTAGAAGTCTGCATCAGAACTCACAGGCCCTACACTTGTGTCCTGTCGGAGTCTCTGACCAGAGAGAGTAACCTTCAAAGTATAAATGGGAAATTCGCTTCCAGCAACGGCTGTTCTTCTAGGTGCTATGCAGCATTCAGGCTTGGGGAGGCAGGGGGACTACAGAGTCTTTTTGGTCCACTTGACTCAGTTTCCTTATCTGTAAGTGGAGATAACAATAGTAATGGTGAGAGAGATATACATGATCTATCTATCTCCCTAAATTTGCTATGGCCTGTGAGATACCTGTTAGTACATATATATAAAATCACGTGAAATATCTACCTATATATATACACACTACAAGATGAGTGTGAGATACGGAGATCCCCAATTTGCCCCCAACCATATGTACTTGTATATATACAGTAAGCATAATTATGTGAGATAGATGCCATATAACAATAGTAATAGTTAATATGTATGATTGTAACAACAGTGATCATGTCACAGAGGTACATAATATATACATCATATATATCTCTCACGTGATTACTAATACTATATATGACATGTATCTCTCTGACATAATGACTATTATTAGTAATTATATATGTTAACTACTATGATGGTTTACATATATATTAGAGAGCAAAATATATGGATTAAGTAATCTAATGTTCTAATGTACATGAGGTGCCTAGAGTCTGGCACACAGTGTTGTGTGAGTATTAGCTGTAGCTAGTCTCTTATTGTATTCAGCCAGCAATTCAGTTTACTCATTGTGATTATTCTAAACTACAGATCTAACCTTCTGTTCAAAGTTCTTCCATGGCTCTCCATCGCTCTTAGTTGGCCTGGCCCCTGTCCACCTCTCCAGCCTCATCGTATGTTAGATGCCCCTTTCCACGCAGTCACACTGGCAGGTTTTGTCTTTCTTTCAACCCTGGGCAGGAGGTCTGAGGCCCCTACCTCCTACCTTATGGAGATGACTGCTTCTCATTCTGTGTTTTGCAGCTCAGGGCTTCCGTCCTCCGGGAAGGCTTCCTTGACCCTCTAAGTTTGAATTAGATGTCCCTCATCACCCTGGACTTACTTCCACCAGAGCACGTATTGCCCATGCAGTAATTGTTCGTTTGCTCACTAATCAGTGAGTCCATGAGTTTGTGTGCTATATCTGAGTGGATGTAGGCTAATTAGCAGGAAACTTCTCACCCAACAAGCAACATGTGTTTCTAGGATTGGTTCATTGACTCTAGTCAGAGCTCTGGAAAGGCTTCTCTGTGATTCTTCTGGTCTTTCCTCATTGGCATGAGGTGGCTGCCACAGCTCCAAATATTTGGTCCTCGCAAAATCACCTGAAAACAGAGCAAAGGGGGACGGTTTCTTCACACTTATCCAGCTTAAAAGAGCTGGAGTGAGAGGAGGGGGAGCAGGGTGTGGAACTTCCCGGAGACTCTGTTCAGTTCTCAAGGGTCTAGAACTTCCTGAAAAACTGTGGCGTAACTACTCTCCAACACCTGATCCAGGATTCAGTGACTTTATCCCCAGGGAATTACATATGCTTCTAAATCTATAAATGCTTTGTTATTTTATATAAAACTGCTAATGGGTAATGCAAATATCTATATACCGAAGATAAAAGTGCCAGGCATAGTTATCAAAAACCTTTGTTGTTTAATAGGTAAATAAGGGAAACCAGGAGACTGTGCAGTTCTGTTTGGCTCTGGATCCCACCCAGCACTGGGAGTGCCTCTCCTCTCTTTTCAGCTATCATAGGTGTTATTGACATAGCTCCTATCGCTGCCAGGTAGGACTCGGGCTGAGATTTCTGCCTATCGTGTTTTCTGGACACCTTCTTGCTTCCTGAAGGGACCAGAGGGCTCAGTAATGGAAGAGACGCTTTCTGGCCTGACTAATCAAGATGAGGACTAAAACAACAGAAAAGAACAAAGTCACCCTGTTGGCTTCTGCTACTCCTAAACTTATATATATATATATATATATATATATATATATATATATATATATATATAATTTTTTTTAATTTATTTCCATAGGTTTTGGGGAAAAAGGTGATATTTGGTACATGAGTAATTTATTTAGTGGTGATTTGTGAGATTTTGGTACACCAATCTCTCTTGCAGTATACGCTGAACCAATTTTGTCATCTTTTATCCCTCACCCCATTCCCACCCTTTCCCCCTGAGTTGCCAAAGGCCATGGTGTCATTCTTATGCTTCTGCATCCTCATAGCTTAGCTGGCACTTATAAATGAGAACATATGATGTTTGATTTTTCATTCTTGAGTTACTTCACTTAGAATAATAATCTGCAATCCCATCCAGGTTGTTGTGGATGCCATTATTACATTCCTTTTTATGGCTGAGTAGTATTCCATCATATCGTATACATATCAGTTTCTTTATCCACTCATTGATTGATGGGCATTTGGGTTGGCTTCAGATTTTTGCAATTGTGAATTATACTGCTATAAACATGCATGAACAAGTATCTTTTTGTATAATAACTTCTGAACAGCAAATCTTCTAATTTTGGATTAATGAGTTTCAGTTTCTCATGGGAAGAGGATGCATTCTGCCTTGTTTGTGAGAATGGAGAGATCAATAACAAAGCTCAGTTTCTGTTTCACCAAATTCTACCCTTTTTCCTAAATGACCAGGAGAGTGAAGCAAACAACCTGCTAATAACCTCTACTTTGGTGGAAGAAGCATTGTGTGGCTGAAGACTAATAATGATAGTAAATTAATAATTGAACAAAATGTCATGTGTGCTCTATAAGAAAAAAATCTGTGGTCACATGTTGAACTAATCTGATGCATGGGTGCCTACTCTATATAATTGTATCTAACTATTTATTAAATTTCAAATATGCAGAAAAATTGCAAGAAGTTTTTAGTGAACAATCATGCACCTACCAGCACCAAAATTCTACTGTTAACATTTTATTCTACTTGCTTTATTCTATATCTGTTCATCTCTGTCAAAGGATGATGTCTTGATACCTGAGATTGTGTGGTCAATCCTATTAATCTTTTTTCCTTTTTGGTTTGAGACTTTGTGTCATTTTTACAATGACTTTTGACGAAATCTGTCCCTGTTCTCTTCTTCTACTTTTATCATTTTGCATTTTACATTTAATTTTTAATCCAGTGAAAATTCTATTTATATAAGGAATTAGAAAAGTCTCCAACTTTTGTTTGTTTTTCTTCCCAAATTGCTAATTACTCATTCTGCTTCCTATTCCAACTTAGGGCTTTGAACTTACCCAGGAATTTCTTTGTGTCCATTCCTTCTTGCCCACTGTCTCCCACTGTGTCACCAGATCTGGATGCCCCAGACCCATGTGTTCAAGTGAAAGACACATCACAGCTCTGCAAAAGGAACAGGAGGGAACCAGATGCAAAACTGCAGAACTAATGCTGGAGGCAGAAGCATCTGCTGAGAAAATTAAATCTCTCTTTTGGGTTGCAGAAGGGGGAGGCCCAGGATGTGAGAACGATAAAAGTTGTTCATGCAGCTCAGGGGTTTCTCCTCAGATCCTACCCCACCTGTGGTACTTAGCTTGTATTCAGCTTCTGATCCACCTGGCCATGCTCCAGGGCTCCTGGGCAGCCAGGTCCATACTATTCGAGGACTCACTGAGCTGAGTCGCCTGCTTCTTTCCCATCTGTTAAAACCACAGGCTTAGAATTTAGGATGGCATTGGGGGAGGAGAACTAACCTCTCTTAAGAGAAAAAAATAGGGTCCAGAATGAAGTTTTTCAGGGAGAGAAGCTGGCCATAATGAGAAAGGAAGAAAGAAAGGAAGGGAGGGGGAGAAAATTCAGTGATGCATGAGAACCTGGGTTCTGAATCATGACAATATTCATAGAAGTTATAGGATCCAGGGTGTGATAAACGCTCTGAATTTTGGATCCCCACCTGTAAATGACAATATAATTGTTCTTACCTCAAAGGGTTTGAAGGATTGAGACAATCCTTGCAAACTGCTTTACTCAATAACTAGCAATTTCAAAAATCACTACTTACACACACATACACACGTACACACATACACATGCACATGTACAAGGAAAACATAAGAAACTCTGGCTGCTGCAGGACAAGGAGCCCCAACACAGAATCCTCACTGGGGTACTGCCTAATGGAGCTGAGTGAGACAGGGATCCCTCATTCTTCTCATAGACAGATTCAAACTTGAACATGTCAAAATACTGAGCCCCATCAAATGACCTTCCCAGGTACTGACATGAGCTGTCAAGTTATCTTGTGGTCCAGCAGGGAAGGCAGAGGGACATAGCTGAGTGAGTTTGACTCTTTCATCCCTGCATCCTGGAAGTCTTAAAAAGCAAGGCCTCTTTGGTCTTTGCATCACAATATGTCAACAATAAAGATGACAGGCCTGGTGAGAGCAGAGGAGGAAATGAGGGAGCAGAGACCTGGGTCAGACAGACCCGGTGTGGCAGTCTCTCTAATAAGGACTGATATGGTTTTGATCTGTGTCTCCACCCAAATCTCATCTCAGATTGTAATATCTACATGTCAAGAGAGAGAACTGATGGGAGGTGATTAGATCATGGGGGTAGTTTCCCCATATGATTCTCATGATAGTGAGTGAGTTTTCACAAGATCTCATGGTTTTATAAGTGTTTGGCAGTTTCTCCTTTGCTCTCTCTTTCTTGTCACCTTGTGAAGAAGGTGATTGCTTTCCCTTTGCCTTCTACCATGATTGTAACTTTCTTAGCAATGCAGAATTGTGAGGCAATTAAACATCTTTCCCTTATAAATTACCCAGTCTTGG